AAAATTCAAAAGAAAAGTTGTAGAGCATCAGCTATATATAGAACCATTTATTTATAAATTATCATCAAATTTAGAGAAATATAGACAACTTTTCTGAATTTTTGAAACTTTATCTTATGGAATCCTTTTGAGAAATCTTACACTTATCCATAACAAAACACCTACAAATGTTCCTGTAATACTCATCAACAACACATTAAAATGACATGACAATTTTTCTAAAAAAGGAAAAAAATCTACTTAAATAACATCAATATTTAAAATAAACATTGGTCTACATTCATCTAATTCTCAATCTACTAAATCTATATCTTTGACAAAATTTTTGTTGTAATTTACTAATAAAAAAAACAATAATTACATGCTCTTCAAAGAAGATGTGATCATATTACCATTCAGCAACTTTTGTTTCATATAAGTAACAAAGAAAGTGCATTTAATTATTTTTAAAAGTATTACAAGTTCAATTTAACTTTCAAATTTTAAATCTGTAATTTTATGGAAGACTTAATACTCACGTTGTTTACATTTTAAAATAATAATAAATCTTTAAATATACAGTAGTACCTCAGGATATGAACGCTTCAGGATATGAAATTTTCAGGATATGACATGAAATTCGAACATATTTTTGCTCCATGGTACGAACAAAAACTCACCATATGACATTACATTCATTTGCAGTGCCATTTTTTATTCACTTTATTCACTGGTCTCAGTCTGCGTGTTTGCTTCGTTGTGGAAGGATCTCGCTTGATAAAGAAAATCTTCAGGTATTATCAGAAAGTGACCAATTTTATTGAAAAGAAACATCACGAAAAGGTTCACATTGGCTGTATTGCTGCTCAGAGTAATGACATTTGCCTAGTCATTTTAGAAACATTTTAAAAAGTAGGCAAAGCCAAACCTCTTCGAATAGATATTTTACCAAGCAACCTCTATCCAGTGAAAGTGCTGGTAGAANTATAAAAATTATATTTTACTCTTACCCTATTTTCTGTGAACTTCCTGGAATGACTTCTGCAGTCCATCCAATGGACAAAATTGAATTAGGAAACCTGGCTCGACATAAGATAAGGAATGTCCATAAGTCAATAGGTACATGAGATGGATTGCCAGGTCCTGGTAGGATATCAGCATTTAGAATAATAGGTCCATTAAACTAAAATAAAAAATATAATTAAAATTAGTTCAAACTTTTATATTAATGCTTCTATTTCCAATTTTTTATTACTGAACCAACTTTCATATTTCAAAAATTTCTCTTATGATTGGAAACCTTAAAGAAACAAAGAATAAAACAGCTTTTTTCCATATTAATCATAGGTTTGGCAGGTCCAAAATGGGGCAATTGGATGAAGAGGGAGAGGACCTGATTTATCCAAGACTTATTGCCCAGAAAAATTCCTGGTGTTGTTTGCCTACATTTGATTCCAGTGTGGCATGATGCCATTTATTCATATATAGTTTTTATGTTATGTTATTTTCTATCATTTTCTTTTCCTAGCCTATCAATTTCCCTTTTGTTCTTGATTTTCCTTTATTTCCAAGTTCGAGAACTTTCCACCCTTGCCTTACTTCCATCGGTGTGAGTGTTAGATAGTAGAGTGGAGAAGGCCCTGAGGGCAAGCATCAGTATAGTCAGCAGTTTTTGGTCAAGTTCCCAAGGAAGGCAGACATGCAGAGGATGAGTTCAGGGCTTTGAGTGGTGTCTGAAGCAACAGGGTATGACCGCTAAGAAACAGTCGGAAGCACCAGTGAGTCCTGAGAGTTGAAACGGAAAATCTTGTTCAGAAGACCAAAAGAAAAGTGAACTAGTGACAACTAAAAGAGAAAATACATATACCAGTGAGATTCAGGAGAACTGCAAAGATATATTTGGATTGTTTCATCATAATATGTGAAGCGACGGGTACCCCTTTTCTAAGACTTCTTTCTTTTTTCGTAAATTTCCCTCCCCCTATCTAGCATAGCTTCCCTCTTTTAGCATTAATTAGAATAAAATACATAGTTTGTAAGATAGTTTTAAGCACAGCTGATCTTTGTGTATACTTTCGTGATTTGAACCCCACGTGTGTGAATCCTAAAAAGTGGTTAAGAAGATCCTTTTGTGTAAGGATCTTGATTGTACTATACTGTTGTATAGAAGTATTGACTAACAATGCACTAGAGCTGGGACCTGTTTTTTTTTTGTGTTCATACTGTATAAAATAAAGTTTTGTTCTTTATGTTATACCTGTTTCTTATTCTTATCACACTGAACATACACCAGTCCTGCAGAGTTGTATGCTGATGCAAACTGTCTCAGCCATCTGGCTGTTCTAATTTGAATTTCATCAATTATTTTTTTTTAATTTACTAAATTCTAAGAAAGTAAACTTTAAGTTTTTATTCTGACTTTTACAGTGCCTTCTTTTTAAAAACATTTAAATCTTAATAACAGATTAATGAATAATTGTTCTCATTTTTACCTTCTGCAGATTTTTATGTATGAAAAGAAGCATTCAAACACTTTCAGGATCTAGTCTGCTGCTTTTCTTGTTGCAAATTAAACCAGAGGGTCTGAAGAGTCCATTTCTGTATATATTGCATGATATTGGAGGTAATTTGTTTGAATTAACTCCAATATCACATCATACAGACCAGTGGCATGCTGTGACATTTGATGATAGGGAAGCTGTCTTTCTGAAAAAAGCCGACTTCCAGGGGCAATCAGTTAATTGTATGTCAGACTGATGCGCAATTAACTGATTGCCCCTAGAAGTCGGTTTTAATCTTACCATTGTTTTTCACATGTATATAAATTTGTAATAAAATAAATAATGCGGTTATAACAAAACATTAATTTTAATTAATTCAAAGTACATTAAAATATGATACAATGTGTATTTATAAATACAAGGGGAAACGGTGCTTCCATAGCTTCCATGGACAGCACACCACTGATACAGACTCTCTAATATTCATATATTTGAATGTAATATTCACCCATCTCTATTTTAAATTCATTTTAGTAATTAAACAGACAATAATTTCTTATTTCAGATATCAAAAATTATTTATTTAAAAAAATGTTTTTGGTTCTCCTTGAGCTATCATCAGTTTAAACTTACAGTACAAAATTTGCTTATTAATCTGCTATTCTTTTTGGAACAACTTATATAAGCAATTATAGAATATGATAAATATAACCAATTTTCAAATATGACAAATTTAAATGAAAGCATGGTATAAAGTTACCAAGTTTTGTTAATTTTAATGAAGTTCAAGTCATATTTCTTTTTAGTAGTTTTTATAAAAGTATTTTTCTAAAAATGCACAAATAAAATTTATTCTAACTGAAAATTTGTAATTTAATAATATTAATTACTTAATATTGAAAATAAAATTTATATATTTTTAAAAATTACATTTTAAGTTATACTATTTGCAATTCTAGTGAATTAAAAAATTAATTTTATAATTCTGTTAATTTTCAATTTATTTGTAGAGTTAACTTATTCTATTTGTGCTTTTTTAAATCTGAGTTTCATAAAAATGATAATATAGAAAATTAAATTATTATTATTATATAAAATGAATAGAAATTTCATTTACTTTAACAATATCCAAATTATAACAGTCTAAAATAAATAAATATAACATAATGAATTAAGCATAAAATAAAGAAAATAAATAAATAATTATTTCATTTACTACTCGTGAATATTATAAACACTATGCAATAAAAGAAATTAATTTACAAATGATGAGAAAAATTTACATTTTAAAGGAAATTCAAATATTAAAATTGATGATATTGTATCATAAATATCAATACAAATTAATTACATATGCCTTTAAGGCAATAAAAAATAAATGCAACAACATAAAATTAACAAATAAAAATCTTGCTATTACATATGTTTAAATCCAGTTTTGCTATTTTATCTCATTTCAAAAGATAAATAATTTAATATTTTATGATTGTCATAGACAATATGTTAAAAATATATTCTTATATTTTTTAAAACATAATTTTGTATTTATGAAAAGATGGTTACAGAAAATTTTTAAATTTTAAATAGCAAATTCATTTTTCTATATTTGTAAAATACATTATTATTATTAAAAATATTGCATAATCTTTTCTCATAAGTGTATGTAAATAATTTAATGTTATTATTGTGCTTATATTTCAATTCTTCTACCTAATGAAAAATTAAATACAGATCATACATATTAAAAAACTTTTCCCATTCATTTAATAAATGATAAATTAACTATATAAAATCAAATTTTTTAAAAATTAAAACAGTTTAAGTTCAAAAGTATCTGAGAATAGAAAAAAAGTTCATTTAATTAATTTTTACATAATGTTTGATGATATATGTGAAATAATTTTTAAAATACATACAATTTTCTTTATATTTTTTACTATTTACTTCTGTTTGAATGCTTTTACCATTAAACTTTTATCATTAAACTGTTTGTTGTTCCATTAACAAAGAGAAAAAATTTAAGAATTTCACATTATACATTTTTCTGATATATTGATTATTATTGATCCTATGCTATTCGAGATGAAAAAATTCTAGTATTTGTACTTAAAACTAATTAATTAATTTGTAAAATTCCAATTGTGATAATAAAATAAAATAAATTCAATCAAATGAGAATTAAAGAATAATTTGTAATGATTTATGTTAAATCATTTAATTATATTTAAAATTACTTATTTTCAATTAATATCTTGTGGTAAAACATAAATTGATATTACAATATATTGTAGCATAGAATATTCATTTTATGCAAACAATCTCATTATGTTCAATAATATATGATTGTCTTGTGAGTTAAAGTAAAAAGAAAAATAAATTTCTTATATATATATAAATATATAAATAACATCTAAAAAATCTTCTGAATCAATAACAATTATAGAAATAAACACAATATTATCCATATGTATGTATTTAGTTTTAAAAAATACAGAATTTTTACTATTAAAAATATTTTGTAAAGTTATCAAATAAATTTAAGATATATAGAATAATGAGAATTAAGAAAAATGATATAAAAAATGAAACTGATGGTATGAAACTCTGTAATGCAAAATTTGGCCCCTGATAATTACAGTTTACTGTACTGGATTTTTAAAAGAAAACTATAAACAAAAACACACTTAAGTATTATATATTATACAATTATACTACATTAAAACTATTAACACATATCTTTGGATGATGCAAATATTAATAAAAGACTGAGTCTGCGCTTTGTTTTCTTGAATGTAGAAATGGATAATGACGATTGCCACTAGTTGAACTGGACGTAGATGACGTGCTAGAACTGCGAGAGCGAAATGACGGTGATGATAATCTACGACTGCCTTCACACAAATAAGATCCACTACATACTGGCATGTCTTAAAGATAAAATTTATTAAATACTTCATTAAAAAAAAATTTAAACATAATAAATATTTATTACCTTTAATTGGAATTTCTTCATAAAGAGATGTTTGTCTTTCTCTGAAGAAAAATGGAGACTGACAAGGTGCAGGTGATGGTATATCCATTGGAGATTCCATTGCATGACCCCAAAGTTCTATTAAAAGAAAAAATATATATACTAACAAGTTTCTAATTCTCTGTAGATAACCTATATTTTACAAAGTAAAATAAAGAAATATATTTTCTAATTCCAGAAACATCTTAAGTAACAATTTTACTAGTGTTCAGATACTAAGTCCTCTATCATTGATAATATTTGACCCCATGTCATTAATAAGCTTTAAGAAAATAAACTACTAATCTTTTATAGAGGTTCTTTTACTAACCTGGCTGTTATGCATACATGACAAAGGATAGTATTGGAATCATATCAAATTTGACCCTGTGGTTTTTCCCAAATCTCTACTTTGGTGGTTAAAAGTTGAGAGGGTGTCATATCTTGAGACAGATCAGACTTAATGAAAATTTTACTCATTATTAACAATTACAATTTTTTATAAACTCATCTCTAATATCCTCAAAATTAAGTGTTTTGCCATTTTATAAGAATCAATAATATAAAAAGTTTTCTATGATAAAATCTCATAATAGATTTCACCTCACATAATTTATTTATTAGTACAGAAGTACTTCAGGATAAGAATGCTTCAGCATATGAAATTTTCAGGATATAACATGAAATTCGAACATATTTTTGCTCCACGGTACGAACAAAAACTTACCATACAACATTACATTATTTTGCAGCGCTACTGCCATGATCACGTATTCCTTCTGTTCATCAGTCTCAGTCCGCGTGTTTGCTTCGTCATGCAAGGATCTTGCTCGATAAAGGAAATCTTCAGGTATTATCAGAAAGTGACTGATTTTATTGAAAAGAAACATTCTGAAAAGGTTCACATTGGCTGTATTGCTGCTCAGTTTAATGACATTTGCTAACGTCATTTTAGAAACATTTTAAAAAGTAGGCAAAGCCAAACCTCTTTGGATAGATATTTTACCAAGCAACCTCTATCCAGTGAAAGTGCTGGTAGAAGTGAAAAAAAGAAAGCAAAAAGCAGTGAATAAAAATTTAAAAATATATATATATAAAACAGAAAAGATAAAAAAAATTAGGTTATTTTTAAGTTATTGTTGCATTATGTTATGTAAGTTAAGTTTTAGTATCATTTCCCTTCTCCCTCTCCTCTGCCACCAGTTTACACCTCCACCGTCATCTATCCTCAACGCTAAAGTGCAAATAAAATTACATTTTTTAATCAATTATTATTCTATTATGGTTATTTATACATTTACAACTACAAAATGCATTTTTCAGTGTTTTCCTTACTAAAGTTTTTTTTTTTTTTTCAGTGTACTATTTAGCTTTAATTTGAGTGTGTTTTTTGTGTTGGAACAGATTATTTGGTTTTACATGTAATCATATGGGAAAAAATGATTCACCTTACGACATTTTCATGATACAATCTCAGTTTAGGAACGGATTAATTTTGTATCCTGAGGTACTACTGTAGTATGATTAGCAATATAAGTTATTTTTTAAATAAAATCTCATAACAGCCAGGAAAGTTACACAATTCGTTGCTGGATATTTTTTGTATATTAATGTATAAAACATTTTATGAACTTTTACAAGCTCATTAGCAGATACTTATTTTATTAAAAGAACCTCAATTTAAATTTCTGTCAAAAGCTTCTACATCATAACTTTTCTTAAGATAGATACAATTTTGAGACTTTTTATTGCTTATAAATTTAAACTTAAACATGTTTTTTTTTTAAGTATGTTAAGATGATGAAATGGATATTAAAAAAACAGAAGCCTTATGTTCCCTATCTTGAGATAGGAAATAGGAGAGTTAAGTACAGAAAGAGATACAGATATCAACAGAAATCAATATGTTACTCTCCAAAGACCACAAATTTGTTAAAGATAGGTATGAGGAAGAGGAAGTGGAACTTATAAAGAAGAAGAGGAAGACACTTAAATAAACAATTATTCATTGTGACATCGTCACAATGCCGGACTGCAATTTTTAATCATATTTTTAATTTATCAAACTTAAGCCTCCTCATGTAGTGGCATGCCCCTGTACATCATACTTTTCCTTTAACAATAGAATCATGCCAGTCTTCTATCTAACACCTTATAGGAGAAAATTTTTTAATTGAAATAATATCACTTCCAATTCGCACTAGAAGTTCTTATATAGTTAATCAGGGTCTTCTGCCCCAGGGTTTCCATGTCTAGTCTTGTCTTTCATCTATCTAACTCTATTCTCAAGATTAAGGAAAGAAAATGGACAGACAATGGATGGATGGACAACAGTGAGAATTTATAAGTCTACAATTTTTTCAAATTGCAGCCCAATGAGGAAAAAGAGCTTATAATTTGTGCATAGCTGCAGAGAGAACTAGGATAGTCATCCCATAAGAGATTCAATCTGTAAAATAGACAACAGCTAAAGACTTATGTAAAATATGAAGACCAGGTTGAGGAGTGGGTGTATTCCATTCCTATAAAATCAAATGAGGAAGGAAATACAGTTGGTTACATTGGGATCATATTAAGAATGTTTATCAAAGATTTAATGAGCCTAAGGATTCATTCAAGAGAGGTAAAAGTAACACTTGTAGAGTATTTAAATTACACAGAACCTGTATGAAATAAAAGTCAGGTTATAGTAGGGGGAAAAAAATATATATATATTGACAAGAGTTACTACTATTGTCAATATATATATATTGAATATAAGGAATTACTGATAGCAAAGGAAGGAAATAATGTTATTAATAAAAGAAAAAAAGGTTTGGAGCTTGACCTTTGGATATGGGCTATGAGGACAATGAATTTAGAGGAAAGAAAATGGAATAAAGCAGATGAGGGAGTATGTAGACTGAATAGAGTTAGTTTTGATTCAACTTACAGATACGTAAAATGTTTTGGATTAAAAGTTTATTTAAATATAATTTTGCATGACTTGAAAATTTTAAAATAATTAAATGCTTAAAAAAGAAATTCTTTTAAAATTTATAAAGATCTTTAATTTTAAAGGATATTTAAATTTAACAGAACTTTAAATGTAGTCTTAGAATTTTTAAACAAACTTTAATTTTAAGAAAAGGTTTAGGTTTTTAGAGAATACTTAAATTTATAATTTTTTAAAAAGTCTTGAATTTAAAACTATTTAAAAAAATTAGAACATATAAGAATTCTATCTATCTTATTAGCAAAACATTATGTAGAAGTGTTTTTATGTTTAAAGAACTTCTAATTATGTTTAAAAAATAAATGTTCAATTTTTTAAAAAAGTTTAAATTTATAACTAATAAAAATCAAAAAACGTTTCAAAGTTGTATCCATCTTAATGAAAAAGTTGTCACGTGGATGTTTTTAACAAACAGAAAGAAATTTGAACTGGTGTTATTTTAATCAAATACTCAGTTGTGTCTGATGATGAGCTTTTATAAGCTCAAAAACATTTTATACAGTACATTAAAATACAAAAAAAAGGATCTTTATGAAAGATTAAAAGTTTGTTTTCTTAAAGCTGACTAAGTTTTGTCTTCAGAATAATTCAAAAAATTAAAAATAAAGTTAATTCTAGATAAAGTCAACAGTTTTCTAATAAACTGAAATACTGTACAAAACTTATAATTTAGAACATTCAAATTGTTCTTTATAGATAAACTTGAAATTATTTTTTCATAAATTCAAAAAAAAAATCACTGAAAAAAATAATAAATAAAGTACATGTATTATACATGATATATACTATTATTATAATAATACAATAAAATCTTACAAAAATTATAAATTAAAATTAAAAAACAATTATAATTTTTCTACAAAAATACATGTTACATTAATTTTATAATTAAAAAAAATCTCTCTCTCTCTAAGGGATCTTTATTGACTAGCTTGTCAAAATCAAGTCTAATTATTTCAAAAGGATTGGAATTTTTCTGTTAATCATTTCTATAGCAAGACAGTGATTCATCATTTTTTCTATTAACCATATTTTCTGAAACATTCCCAATTGTAAATGTAAAAAATTTTACAATCTCCACGATATTACTGGTAAATAATTCAATAAATAAATAAGCAATTACCTATAAACCAGCAGTTAATTCTCTTTTGAACAAACATTTTCTTCTGTCTTTAACAGTCATCATCAGATTTCTATGTATTGGAATGTTTTTAAAAGTAAATTCCAAGAATTTAAAAATTGCATGTTGTGAAGTTACGCACATGCTCAATGTTGCATATAAGAAATTATTTTTTAAACTAGCTTCCTATTTTAAAAAATTTGTTGTTTATATAAATTATAAAGACAAACTTGACAAAGATCAATTTTATGTCAAAGAAGTAGGCCCTCCATGCAGCTGATAACGAGTCCATTTCTTTAAAATTGATATCTGTTCCCTCTTAAGCACTCCAAATATCTCCAGCTGTTTGAGATAATTTAGGTTGGCCTGATCCTCACACTGTTACAGTAATCGTGCATCACAAAAAGCTGCATCTTTGTTCGGTTCACTTCACTCTGGTAGATAATTTTTTATTTTTATTTTGATTTTCATTATATTAATATAATGTTACTGTATCTTATATATACATTTCATATTTTTCATTTTGACAATTCTAAACAATTTTACATCTTATTTCTCCAGCAATTTATTAACTTCATATACTATCATTTTCTGAATATTTAATAAGCTGTGAAATTGTTCACTTTAAAGGAATCCAGTTAGAACTTGAGCGGTGTTACATCAACAATTCTATATCTGTTTTTAAAGAAACATTTTTAATAATAAAGATAAACTTCAAATCTACATATTAAAAAAATTCAAATGTTCTAAATCTACTTTCCAGCTCATAATTAATATTGACAGTTAAATTTGTTTATGCATTAAAATTACAGTAAAGGCTCATTATTTCAATATTGCATAATTCAAAGTCAAGTCTAGTCCCCAGCCAATAGAATAGGATTTTACGTATATTTTAGTTCATATATTTCAAAATGTGCATGCAATGAGATTCAAACTTATTATCTGGTCCAGTGACTCCAAAAATATTATTTAATTTGAAATCTTCCATTATATTACGTGTTTATAAGGAACGTTTCCACACCCAACTTGCAGTTTTCATTTTCTGTTTTACCAATTATGCATTGTTAATTTATTGAACATCCATTCAAGATCATCCAGACATTGTACACATTGCCAATGATGAGAGAATTTTTTTATTTTTATGGAAGGAATTCAATTATTTTGGACATGTTTTGCAAGAAGATATTGTTCCAAAGTCTGTTAAATACACCTGCGTATTCATGATAGAATGTATACATAGCTTTAGCCATTAACAGAGTTTGTTTTCATCAGATCACATGATTTTTGTAATCTTGAACTCAAAATCACAAATTCTTCATAAAAGCAGCCATTGATCCTCTAAATGAAATTCCTTGGTAATTCTTATTAAAGCATTTAAGCTTCTTTCATACATTATTTTCAGGTCTTGCTTTGAATGTAGTTTGATTACATTTTCGTTGTTTTCATTAAGTACTACATGCCAACTGACAGTTTTTTCAAAATAGCTTAAATTACTAAGTAATAATTATAATATTAACACATTTCTAACCAAATGAGTGAAATTATATAAGGTAATGTGATAATTTTATTTGGAAATTACAAAAAAAATTTGATTTGAAAAAGTTTGGATAATTCAAAGATCCCTTGAGTTTTGAAATAACTAGGTTTTACTGTACTTGAATTTTCAGTGATTGCATTTAGATATAATTTTTCTCTAATAAAACAGGATGTTACTAAAGTGTAATAAGTTATTCCAAACTGAAATTTTTAATCTATCAATTGATGAAAGTAGCATTTTAAACTAACTTAATCTAAATTTGAAGTAGAAAATAAAGAAAAATGATTATTACTATGATCTTCAAGATGTTGATTGATGTGTTTAGTCCATTTCAAATATTCTGTCTCTGAATCTGCTACAACAGTATATTCCTGAGTTTTATCTTTAAAATTATTCTGTATTACAAAACTATATGAATATGTGCTAGACACTTCTTTGCATAATTTTGTATTCTAAAAAATAAAAAAATTACATTTATTATATATATATACATATAACATTTTTAAATAATTAACTTTCACTATTTGTTTAATTGTAAAACAATCATTTTTATTTACATGATTATCTCTATGTATCTATATTATTGCTATATATTATAATTCAACACTAAATGATACAAAAAGTAATAATTTAATTCAACAAATACAAATATAAATTAAAAACCATATCTAATATAAAAAAACTATATTGGCCTCACTCACTCACAAACATGTGAATGGAATCAGATTTCTAACTAGAAAAATAAATGCTCCAATGGATAAGATGATGCACAGAAAGTATGTTACCAGAAAAACCTGAAATCTCAAAAATTCAAACATTGTTTGTGTAGGAAGCATCAAAGTTTATTTCAAACCTATAAAATCAAATAGTGCGTGAATGAAACATAAGTGCCTATTTTTGAAAAACTAAGATAATGCAAGTAAACTAATAGTTATTAAAAAATACAGTAATTTCTTTTGTCTTAATATCTATTATTATTTGTTAAAAGATTTTTGATATATGTAGATTAAATAACTGCAAATAATATATAAAGCTAGTATAGTTTAAAAAACTCTCATGAAAAAAAGTGAAAGCATTGCAAAATGATTCAGAACATTGATGTTGGACTGCAAAACGTGATCAATGGTAGAGCCCCTATTATTATAGATATTAACAAAATATAAAATCAGCTTAAGTGTTAAATATTTAAATAATTTCTCCGATTTATATAAGTAATATTTTTTCATACTGTTCATACAGTCATCCTAAAGTTCATCTGCAATTTTATACTTCAATAACTAAAAANCAGAGCCATAATCACAGATAAAACAATTTATCACAACAGACCAGACATCACACTCATTGACAAACACAATAAAATCACATACATTATAGACATAGCCATTCCGAACTATGTACAAAACACATGCACTGAAAAAATGCATAGCCACTCACAATGTACAAAACACATGCACTGAAAAAATTAGCAAGTATACAGAACTCGCCCAGGAAATAAGGCATCTGTGAGGATGGATAGGGTGCTTATTGTACCTGTCATTCTCTCCTGTACAGGTGTGATACAACACACATTACACAAAAGCCTGGGAACATTACAATTGAGTAGAAATACATACATCACACTACAGAAGGCCACTATATTGAATACATGCCACATTGTTAGGAAATTCCTGAATACAGAAACACACACTGACACACTTATTTAATTTTAGTTTTGTTTTGGTTGCTATGCCTTGACACTGGTCCAGCATAGTACACAGCCACCGGTGTGAACCGAGTATAATTCACAAAACCCAACATAATAATAATAAACTAATCTATTTTATTTACAGATTTTGTTAATGATTTCAAATGGTGCCAATTGAAGAGAAAGCAATTTAATTCTGCATGCTTTGGCTTGCAGAATTAAAGTCAACAGCTATTGAAGAAAGTATACTTTTCATAATTAGTGGTTAATTGCTTAGCTTGACTGTATAGTAATTGAAGTAATTGAAGGATAGTAATTGAAGTAATTGAAAATATATGAAGTAATTGAAGTATTTCATAAGGATTTTAAGACCGTTCTGTAGACCACAATATAAATCTGAGTAACATCACACCAAGATGCAAATCATGAAAATGATCTTGATGAATCACATTACTATACATGATGTCAATGTAACAATATCATGTCAGTGCTATTTCAAGTAACAGTTTTTTTTTCTGCTGTAGATGAAATACGAACAGTTAATTAGGTTTGTTTTGGTTCCTTTTTTTTTAATGTCATTTATTTAATCTAGAGTGAAGGACAAGGAATCACTCAATGAATGTTGGTCTTCTTCTATACAAAAAGTAAGTTAAACAAAATAAAGAGCCAATACACTTACAAATACACAACAGTTTTGAATATGTTAGAGAACATGTTCAAAACAACTGCCTTCGGCAGCAACATAAAGATGTAGAACGTTAATTTTGGTGTTATGGATGGCATATAGCATCTGCACTCTATCACCTAGCAGACTGCATCATATTGGTACTTAAAGAGATTTACAATTTAGAAGCCAAAAAGTAACAAAAGCCAATACAAGATAGGTCCAAATCGCAAAGAGAAAACATAGTAATACCATACAGTACATGGAGGGATGTTCAGAGATATGAGATAAAACAAAAAAGAAAAATTGCCATTCACAAAGATATTTTTATGTATTTAAAATACAATGACAGTCTTTTTATAGGATACAAGTTATAATAACCAATTTGAATCAATACAGAGATGAACTTTAATATCTAACCTGTATACATGATACAAAATAGTTAATCTAAAAAGTAATGAATTCAGTAATATCTCATTGTTGAAAATAAACTTAATGCTATCATATACATATTAATTTGAAATAAATTGGAAAATTGCTACTTGCTGATCTCACATATTCCCATTGATATATTACAAATAAAAAACAAAATAGACTGAAATACATAAAATATGTACATACAATAAGTTGCTATGAAAAATTTTAATTCTTCATAGCAAATTATTGGTAACTAATTCTAGTACATTTCTCATAGATAAAAGTTGTTTTAAAGATAAGCCTTTTAGATAATACAGTAGCCTCAATTATCCAATGTAATATAATCTAAGGGTACCTCAGACAATAAAAAGATTGAACAACAGATAAATTATTGAATAAACTAATTTGGATGCATTAATGTGTATGATATACTCTATTTTCATCTACTCAGGAAGCTAATGACTTAAATTATGCAATAAAACACTTAAGTTTATTTACAATTGTATTTATTAAAGCAAATGTGAACTTACAATTAAAATTTCTTTAATCTATTATAAAGTTCATATTGTCATCAGAAGAGTTTACTCTGATAAAATTAATATTGCCAGAATAGTCTTTTTAAAACCTCAAGAGCCTCTCATATATTGTTATAGCCAAGATTCTTAAAATATACTAAACTGTACTGTTATTTTGTCTTTGTTGACAAATCATACTTCCACAATTCACCTTGGATAATGAAAAACTTTGATCAAACAAGTCTCAATTAATTAGAACTCTATTACAGTTATTATTTATATATTTTCTGAATTTTCTTAGCTAGCATACAATTTATATTCTTCTATATTTTAAAATTATTTTAAATTCTTACCTTATCTAAAAATACAGTAAATACTGGAGATAAAATCTGACAATCTTCTATTTTTGTCCAAAATGATAATTTACAATTCTTTAATGAACACCACATTCTTCTACATCCAGTGACATTACCAATTTGCTGTAATATATATATAGATTGAATAAAGTTAATTATATTATATTTTATTAATTAAATAACATATTAAACAAAATTAAATACTGTATGAAAAAGAATAGGATGAAAGTATTCTCAGTCAGATGCTATAATATTCATTTATCTTGTTTAAAGAATAATTTGGAAGTAAGGTAGGCATTAGAAACATTTCTTATTAAATTTAATAACTATAATTAAATTAATATTTATTAAATAATTTAGAATATTCTGGAAGAAATGAATTGGTTCAGAGCAGAACTCGAACCCACAACTAGTGTTTATCATGCAGATACATTTTGCCAGTTACGCTACCAAGACCTCCATCTGATTCTTCACTTCTAGGCATATTTATGCTAGTCACTTGCAGCACCAACTGGGGACAACTCAGTGCCTATAATATTTATTACCTCTAGTGCCAAATTACTTGGTACTTAATAATTATTAGTATAGTAATATAGCCCAATTTAAACTGGTAATCATTTGGGTTTAATGTACAGGTAATCCTTTCTTAACATGGTTTTGCTTAATGTGAGATCTGATTAACGCATGAAATCAATTGTGATAATCCCTTCTTATATGCAGCAAAAATTTTAACTAACACAGCTTTAACAGCTGTCTTTACTTAATTAACATAGATATGTTTTTCTCAGAAAATAAGGTATTGGTGAATTTGCTATTTTCGTTTATTAAAATAAAAATATTTGTTATTAACTAAAAATTTCGTCTAGTGGGTGATTGTTTGGTTGAGTACCAAGGTATTCTTGTATTTGATTAATGCAATTTTGATATATGCTGCAGCATTGAGGGATTAATTAACTGCATTCATCAAGGGATATCTGTAATTATTGGACTTTGAGATGTTTATAATTGATAAGAAATATAATCAAATTATATAAAAACACATTCTATAAAGCATAGAAATTTTTACAAACAAAAAAACTGAAAATATTTTCTACAATTTTAACAAATAATATGTAAATTTAATGTAACATTAATTCTTAATTACAAAATCTGCATTACAAAACATCTAAATTTAGCACATAGATAATTATAACTTTTTTATTCATATCTAAATCACAAAACCAGATATAAATACAGTAATAAATTATTAAGAAATATTTCTATAAAACATTTCTAAACAAAATATAAGACATGAACAATATTTTATCATAAAAGAATTTATGGATCAATAACATAAAAAAGTAGTGAAATAGCATAAAATTAAAAATAAAAGTTATTAATTTAGTGATTACTGACAAATTAGTCAATAATCACTCATTATTCTAATAATATCAACAACATATTATATTAAATATAATATATTATGGATATATATGTTCAAAGTTAATTAATCAAACTATTGTATTAAATAAGTCATATAATTTCCCATTAGAACAATTATATACTGTATATGTCAACATATAAGTAAACTTTTTAAACCTGAAAAAAAAAACCTCTTCAAAACTAGGGATCAAATTAAAAGAAAGTGTAAAAAGAAAATTTTTACCAAACTTATTAGTTATTAATTAATAACCATTACTTATTAATAATTATTCCAGTTTATTAAAATTATATGATTCAATAATAAGTGTGAATAGTAAATGCATTTATTTTCTCAATTTTTGCTAATTAAAAAGTAATGTTTTTAAATAGTTTTCTTCTTATTCTTTATAATCAAAACGTTTTAATTTCATTATTTAACCTCTTAATGTACAACTCACTCAAAACTTATCAGCTTTATTTCAAGAATTTATTCAAGATTTTAAAAGTTTGATTCTAAAGAAATTTGATTCATTAAAAGTCCAAAAATATTAAAATGAAAAAACAAGTTGAACTTCTTGAAATGAAGGTGGGTAAGATTTAAATATTTTTTTTGATATTCAATAATAGAGTACAACAAAAAGCAATCTTTTGTAGAAAAAATATAAAAATTGAAAGTGATAATTCAAAAGCTCTCTAATCAGAGTTCAGTTTACTTGTAGATTATTTTAGTTGGTATGTTTTAATGTAACTTGTTTCATAAATTTGTTGATTTATCAAATAAATTTAAAGTTAAAATCTTAATCAAAATTAAATCAAATCAAAATCAAATCATATTTATACTTACTTGTACAATACTTAAATAACCAGACATTAATTCTTCAACTAAACTATCTGGCTGTACAGCTAATCGACAACAAAAATGACCAAACAATGGTAAATTATGCTGTTGATTTGGTAAATTTTCAACAGTTAAATCATGAGTCTGTATGCTGCCACTGCAATCTGATAACCTTAATACAGCATGAGCTACCAAATCAAATTTTGGTCCACTAAATAAAAAGATTAGATGTTGTTAATGTAAAATCTTATATAAATATTTATGTATTTATAAAAAAATATATTATGAAAAGTAATATATTGCTTGTATGTCTAAAAAAAAAAATATATATATATATATATATATATTCAAGTGTGTCCCTATATTTCACTTTTCCGCCAAAACTACACATCGCACGTGAATGGTGTTTGTATGTGGTAGTAGCCCCAAGTTTCCATTCGTACATAGGGGTGGTTGCGTCTCGATAGCTATAAGGGTGCGGGAGATATGAG